ATAAAAAACAAACAAAAATTTAATAAAACAAACAAAAAATTCAAATCAAAAACGAATATCAATCATAACAGAACAAAAAACATAGAAAAAAATATAAGCGACCAAAAACAAACGCTGTCATATCCCCCCCTTTTTCCACCCAAACAAAACATGAACAAACTAATCAAGATATGACAACAATCCTACGCCCCAAACAAACAGACAAATCAACAAACAAAACAATATTAAAAACAAATTGAAATACAAAATAGAACAAATCAAATGAAATACCAAAGTATTCTACAACAGAACAAGATCTAATTTTAATTTATCACTTTGTTTTGGCTTTTCGACTTTCGGGTGTGGAAACATAATGTGTATCATCATTTTCTATAATTTGAAATATTTGCACATTTCCAATGTGTTGGTGTCGTTAAGCAATTTACCATACAACATACATGTGTAATGCAACCTGCGAGAAGAAATGTTCTGTGCTGTCACGCGGCAATAAACTGAAAAGTTGAAAAGTAAAATAACAAAAGTACCGATCTCCCAGGAAAATTCAAAACGGAAAATCCCTTAACAAATGACAAAATCATTATCTCAAACACATCACACGAATGGAAAACAACTATCAAATTCTTGACTTGGTACAGGTATTTCCTTATGTAGAAAATGGTGGATTAAACCTGGTTTTATAGCTAGCTATACCTCTCACTTGTATGACAGTCGCATAAAATTCCGTTACATTGACAACAATGTGTGAGCAAAACAAACAGACAGATATAATAGGTAAAAAAGATTGAGAACAAGAATGTCCATAGTACACGGATGCCCCACTCGCACTATCATTTTCTATGTTCAGTGGAACGTGAAATTGGGGTCAAAAATCTAATTTGGCATTAAAATTAGAAAGATCATAGCAAAGGAAACATGTGTACTAAGTTTCAAGTTGATTGGACTTCAACTTCATCAAAAACTACCTTGACCGAAAACTTTAACCTGAAGCGGGATAGTCAAACGGAAGGACAAACGGACAGACATACGAACAAACGGACGGACGAACGGACGCACAGACCGAAAAACATAGCGCCAATAAATGGGGTAACAAATGTGGGAAAAGGAGGTGCGATGAGAACAAACACTGTAGATAATTATTCTTCATTTTTTCTCATAAACTTTCAAATTTCAAGGGAATAAGATATACGCCAGTATTGGATAAAGAATTTTCCGGGCCCACATATGAGGGTCTGTATGGGTAAACAGAATAGGGAATAATGGACCAAATCTACAGAAAAATGAACACAAAAAAAAGAGAGAAAAATGGGGTGCTTAAATATAAAGAATTGAGAATAATGGGTAATAAATATAAAGAATAGAGGAAAATTACACAAAAATGTAAAGAATACAGAAATGAAGCCCCCCTCTCCAATCCAGACTCGCACATTTATATAATCCCGAAAATAACCCTCAAGATGAAACGATTAAATGATCGTATATGGCGTCAACAAATAAATTCCGACAAATTTAAAGGACAAGAACTTTAGCAAATCTAGAAACTTATGATGGAATCAGCAGATTCAGACTTAAAGTTATTAACCCATTCCTAATTTAAAGATTCCGTTCTTGTACATTGTTCTTTTAAACATGAAAGAAAAACACAAAAACACAATGTCATTTGTCAGCCATGTTTGTTTACATGAGTCTAGGATGCTCTCTATCACGTCCGCGTCTTTGAAATAAAACTTAGCGACGGTCGTCTGTGACAGTCATTCCCGCCATCGATTGCCGTGGGACAAGCCGTTGCACGTTATTCAAAGCATAGTACCTAACCAATCTGCCATCAAACAAAATGTTGCACGTCCATTAAAGCATAGTACCTAACCAATTAACCAGTCATAAATTGTGATGTGCATTGACGGCCTACAGTAGAAATATTATTATTATTATTCAGTGATTATTATTATACAACGACTTACAAGTAAACGTGTGGCACTGAGTGCATGCACAGTTTATTCAGTTGAAATATGACAAACGGACGAGAATTTTAGACTGTAAATTACAGCAGCTTTTGAGCAAAAGCATTTTACAAGAGAAATTCGACAAGTTTTTACTGTGAACTTATTCTAGGTCGCCCGTGTGCATCTTTAGTTACAGCGGAACATGACGGTTGCTTACTGTAGATTTTCTGCCATGACTAGCTTTCATTGTGAACTTGTTAGGTTGTGCATTCTTAGTTACATTTTAAACACGATAATCTGCCATCGTCACAGTCCAACAACAGAAGGAATGGTTACCAGTCAAGACACAGACAGATAAGCTGCCGACAAAGACGTCTTTTCAAATAAAAGTTTTGTTGTGCACTATTGTCTTATCTTTACAAATAAAATTTTAACCCAACTCTCCCCCCCCCCCCCCTCCCCCTCCAAATAATATTATAAATAAACAAATAAACAAACAAACAAACAAACAAACAAACAAACAAACAAAAAAAATAGCAAAAAACAATAAGCTCTTAACAAATAACAAAATAATAACATTAAAACAATAAACCATAAAAACAAAACATAAAACAAAACAACAAAACAATAAAATAAACAAAAACCTAAAAAAAAACCAAGTAAATAATAAACAATAAAAAAAACCAAACACCAATAAATAGAATTAAAAAAACATAAAACAAAAAAACAAAAAAAAAACATAAATAATTAACAAAAAACCACACAGAACGAAAAAGCAAAAAACCGAATGAAAAACAATGAACAACAAAAAACAAAAAAACAATTGAAATAACAAAACAATAAAATAAAAATTACACATATCAAACAAACAAAGAAAATGAACAAACAATAAAGACAATAAACAAAAAACAACTCACACAAAACAAATAACGAAACCATCAACACAAAAAAATCAACACAACAACCACAACATAACAAAACAACCCCATTCCTCAAGATTTCCAAGTGGTGAAGTTGAAATCATCTCTTTGAAAGTTTTACGGACGCCATCACGAGTTGATTTACCGTTACGGAATATCTGTTTCACAGATGACGACGGATATGTTTCAATCGTCGTAACCACAATCCCGCCCTCATTTTTCCCGAATGAGACTTATCACTGAAGTGTATTTACATGAGCAACACGACTGGTGCCTCATGTGTAGAAGGATGTGCTTACCCTTCCGGCAGCACTTCAGATCACCCCCGGTTTTTGGTGGGGTTCGTGTTGCTCAGTCTTTAGTTTTCTATGTTGTGTTTTATATACTGTTGTTTATTTTCGACTTAAAGAGTTTGAATGTCCCTTTGGTATATTTCCTCTCTCTTTGATATAAATTGGTTTACAAACAGAAACGATAGTTGGGATGCTTTGTCTGCGGAAACAGCAACAAACGATTTTACCAGATACAGAACCGACTGACGAACGGACGGATGGACTTACCGACGGGTGGATGCACAGAGTGGAAAACATAATGCCCTGTAGGCGGGATATTAAAACAGATCACAACACTTTGGTCCAAGTCTTGGTATTTTGACACCCCGCATGGAAATTTGCCCCTACATGAGAAAAATGTCCATGAAAATTATTCAGTATTTCACAGTTCTTCTAATACAGTTGTCATTTTCCTTAAGGTAAAAAGGGGGTATACTTTAATCATTGGTTGCAAATGGCTGCATATGATCGGTCCAGATTTTTTACTGAAATTAGAAAATTTGATGCGAAAATTGAATTTATTTGTGAGACTTTTTAATTAGATGGAGAAATAGTTACGCACTTTTCAGACCATTCCTACGCTTCTGATTCATATATTCATGTATAAATTATACGTTACTATTAGGGAGAGTCTACGGAGCCCTGTTATATTCTGATACAGATAAAGAATTGTGCTTTTTCAAAGTCGATCGCTGGAAGTATAAAGTCGAGCGCTATCGAAAGTCGAGCGCTGTAAATCTCAAGTCAAGCGGCTGGAAATGTAAAGTTCAGCGCTTTATATGCGAAATCCAGCGCTTTATATGCAAAATCCAGCGCTTTATATTCAAAGTCAAGCGCTGAACTTTACATCTCCTGCGCTGGACTTTGCATCTCCAGCGCTGTACGTTATATGTACTTCTCTCGACATTACATCTTCAGTGCTAGACTTTTAATATATCTACAGCGCTAGATTTTACATTTGCGGCGCAGGAGTTTACATATTCATCTCTGTACTTTATATCTACAGATTTGTACTTTAGATCTACAGAGCTTGATTTTAGACCTACCGCGCTGGAATTTTGATCTTTAGCGCTGGGATTTAGATCTACAGCGCTGGACTCTGCATCTTCTGCGCTTGATTTTGAATCTGCAGCGCTAGACTTTTCAAATTTCCAGCGCTTGACTTTCAAAACCACAACTCTTTATCCGCTTTATGAGACCAGCAGGGCTCCGCCGGTAAAATTCAAATACATACAAACCTTTGAAATATATATGTCACTGCTTAAAATTGAGAATTTTATAACCAAAACCTATTGTCAATTTTGTGCAATATCCCGGCCTTTTGACTTAGTCAAATCTCAATAACTTTCCGGAGCTCACCAGGTAAAGCACCTACTGATTCATAATATGTCTCAGGCCTTTCAAGCCAAAATCTGACAATTTTTCACAACCATAGTTTTGAAAACAGCTAGATATTTACTATATTTTTGGCAATGTATGAAAACATATATCGTTTTTAATTTAGACTTCTCATCTACCTTTTAAAATTGGTATTATCCGTAATGTATTCGAATTATGTCCCAGATCTCATGAGGTCAAATACTACTTTAGGAAGATATTTTTAATTATTTTTCCATTTGGTTATTGACACTGGAGTATCTTTTCATGAGGTGTCAAAATACCAAATAACATTAGCCGATAGACTCAATAGTAAGTAGATTTAGCTTTGTAAATGAGAATGCAGGAGATACTTTATTACATTATAAACATCCAATCACAGAAACGGACTTATAGATCCGGACATCAATTTTATTAACCAATCAAAAAAGTTGTCACATAAACATCTCGACAGCCGATCATGGCAGACCATAATAAAGGAGGATTTATATCGAAAGCACAAAAAAAGTTAACGCGCACAAAAACGAAGGTAAGAAAAAATATTCTATTTGCACAAAAATATTCAAAAACATTATTTTCTATTTTACAGGTCGAGAAAACATATGACACGATGTAAAGGGCACAAAAAAACACATTTTCTTCCAACAGGTGTCTGCTAACTTTTGATTGTCCCGTTGTTCATGAATGCGTGAAAAAAAATGTGTCAACTTCCTAAATTATTTACTTATTGTATTTATATACGGATTTTAAATATTTATCTATTCAATTTCAGTGTATCAAAATTTCATATGTTCATTTTATACAAGATACTTTTTAGTGTACTTTTTAAAATATATTTATTTTACTGTTGACGCACGCGGAAGTCAAATCAGTGTTGTTTGCATCGTTTATCAGAAATACTACAATTAATGAATTATTGACAAATTTTGACAGCTTCATAATAAGATTGCTCTTGGGTATTGTAGTTTCTTACATATCTGTATGACAGTTAAATCACCCGAGATGTTTATAGAAGATATTACACCCTTGTGAAGACTGAAGTTGTAATCTTCTTATCTCTCTCGACTCCTAATTGTTGGAAGAAATCCATTTGATTTCATAGTTTATCCACAAAATCATGAATACATTTGTTGTCTAACAGTTTGATATCAGGAAAATAGGACTGCTCTGAAACAATCCATACAGCATGTACAGTGGTGTAGCATATTTGTCACAGAGCTGAGTGGTCTTTTTCTTTAATTAAATCATAGTGTCTGTGTAGTTGACAAGCATGTGATTATGATTTATATTATTTACCAAAAGATAAAACAGTAAATGATTTGTCAAAGAATTTGGAATTAATGATACAAAAAGCATATATAAGAAACAATATCCTAAAACATAGATTAAAAAAAAGTAGCAGATTTTTCAGTTGGTGTAGTATTGAAATGAAAAAATATAATTTTATCCACGAGGAGATATGATGGTACATGTACAATGTACAAAAAATGTATGTCTCTGCCACCAGCCATTTAGTCTTAAATTTTACCACAGTGTTTACAGTTTCTGATAATAATTTTATTCATGACAACATTTGAAATTGAAAAGCAACTGAGAAGTTACATTTGTAATGTACAAAAATACTGAAAATAGACATAGAGTCACATCCCTTTATCAAATATGTAAACCTGTCATTTTCCAGGTGGGAATATTAAAAATATATCTTGACACAATAGTGTAAGGTGTGGAGGTGTTTTAGTCACCAGAACACAACATAACAATCTTAATAGCACCAATTAATAAAACATATTAGAGAGGGAGTGTATTGGTCAAGCTTCAGGTCATCAAACAATTCTGAGACATTAGAAATAATGAGAATTGATTGACAGTGACATGATATTCCTTGTAAATTTTAACATGTACAATGTACATGTATATATTCAGGACAATTAAAAAATTATTTTTTAGACCATACATCCTTAGTTAAAGAATAGTTATTTCAATAGCAATTTAATTGAAAAGCATGTACTGATTAGTTATATTTGAAATGTAAGATACAGATCAATGCTGATTTATCATTCTAAGGTTAGATTTGATTGAGACTCATGATCACAAACAGTTGCAAACTCTCAGAGTTTCAATTATCGACTTATTAAAGTACAAATATATTATTTATGTATGAGAATCTATGCTTGTTTTTTTGGAAGTACTACAAAAGTTTTTATGGATCTAGTCTTTCTGCTTTCTTGAAATTAATGTAAAATCTGTTCATTGACAACATTAAATTTAATATTCAAAACATTTCATCAACAGAAACTTATACATTTGTACATGTGTGTGACAGTCTTTTCATTGAACTACACAGTTTGAAGTTTTATAGTACTTATCCTTAACATGCTTAAGGACTACATGTACCATGTCAAAGAAGTTCATGTCAGTGTTACATTAAAGGATTTATATATACAGATGATTAATTTAATTTGTTTATATAATATATGTTATCTAGAATATGCGTGAAATTTTTACCACTGTTGGTTTAATTCAATAATTTGTACAATTTGGTTTTGAAATTGATCTGAATATACATAATGTAGTGATTGATTGTCAGTTGCTTAATGTCCAGTGGCAAGAATATATATTATATATATATGTATAATTGAATAGTCTGAAATATTTACACATAAATATTATAAACATGATAAAGCAGAACAAACAAACAAACAAATAAAAAAAGAAAAACAAATGATAGAAATGTCATCATTAATGATAGGTAGACAGATTTCTGTTAAGTCTGCTATTGTAGGTGTAGCTTGTTTTGTAAATGACTTGAGGCAATAGACCGTTGATGAATGACTTGTAGTACTTTAAGGTGTAAAACTGCATAAAAATACAATATTATACCTTCTAGGTGTAAATTATATTTAATTACATAGGAGAAATCTTTTGTGTTTTAAATTTGATGATCTAGTAGTTGAAATTTTGATTAATGAATGATCATAAAAAAATGATAAGAGTAAAAGTTTGTTTGTGTAATAAAAAAATCTGGTTATATTTCATATATACATATATATATATAAAAAGATGAGGTCCGGGACACAGTTATCGTCCTTTGATTTTCGTTGTCTACAAATATAGTCCATAGTGTGGACAGTGTATTACTTGCAAATGTTTTTCATACCCCTTCCCAATTTATTTCCTCATCTGTTCATGTTTTATGTCTCAAATAGCAAGTAGGGGGATGAAAGTACATGTACACTGTAAACAAAATTTGGGTCATTATAAATTAAAGTAGTGATTTGGTCCACTTGAAAAAGGTTAAAAATTAGTATGTCTGAACCTGTCAAACAGAATTCAAGATCCCCTTCTAACATAAAATTGTCCATATCTTGACTTAGAGCTGGTACACTTTTCTATAATTTTGATATAATTTGTCCCAAAAGTACCGGTAGTACACTACACTAAAAATCTTTTTGAGCTATCGCAGGTGTGATTTCTTTAAATTTCAATTTATTGTCGAAAAGAAATGCACTACGAAACAGTTGTGTTCAGGGCCATGATTGTAAATGAGACGTCTATCCACCAGAAACCAAATGATGTGGATATGAACAACTATAGCTCACCATTTATGCTATAAAGCCTTCAAAAATGAGCACTGACATGAATAAATGTAAGACAATTCAAAGTTTCAAACTAGATAACCAACAGCCTGAGTAATGATAAAACAATAAGCTAAAAATAAATATATATGATGGACTGCAACCAACGACAACCAGTGAATTAAATCTCTTGACTAGGGACAGACACTTTTGTTTGGTTTTAGAAAAATTCTTATGAAGAGCTTTGAGGTTATAGTATTTGTCATGCTTATTATATCTTAGTATTTGGCTTTTATCTTATTTAGATCCATCCAATATATTTTTCTTTTCCAGCATGTCCAGACTCTGATATATAAAAAAACAATATGAAAGCAATTTCCCAAAATTTAAACCAATTACATAGTTCATATAGAACAGTTAATATTTTATCATCTGCACTGCACACATACAATAAAATGCACCAAAAAGTATTCACTGGCGATTACCATATGGTTGTAATAGCTTGTGGAAGTTCATTGAAAAGGAAAATCCCTGCATGTAACATGTATCTGTACATTTATTTGTCTGGTAGACATATTTGTGTAATTTACATATATAGAAGTAGGTAAAAAGTTTATCTGATTATCAAATATGGATAGTTATGTCAATAAGACAGTGTTTAATGACTGATAAATGGTCATTTAGATATCAGCTTCTAAATTCTTTCAGATACAGGATAATTTAAATGCACAAATAGGTTTCTCCACACTCTATATCAGACTACAGTACATTTGGACTTAATTTAAAAATGATATTTTTATTGTAACTCTTATAACAATGAATTATAATACAATAAGGTAGTGGTAAGAACATGATGAATGTAACATGTAGTTTTCAATTTTAGCAAATGCTATCCATTGTAAATAAAAAGTTAAAAAGCTACAAACAATAAATACCCTCTGACATATCTGAGAATATGCAAACAATAAAACGAGTGCAATCTTGTGTTTTGCAGTGACAGAGATATTTAAAAAAAAAAAATTTCTATGATTTTTTACTATTTATTTTTAGTGTACTGGACTTAACAGTTTTTTGACTTTCAAAGATCGAATTTTTTAAAAAAGGTTTCCCATTTTTTTATCTACCGGTATAGGTCAGTTAGAAAAATTTCATAATATTGTACAACAAAATCTAATGGCTATGTGCCAAAAGCTGTTTATGCCAAAATTTCCGTTTGCAATCTTTTTCAATGGTTGACAAGATGCTTTAGTACATTCTTCAGAAGAAAAGCCTATACCTTATCCAGAAGTTAGTAAAATGCACCTAGTCCACTTTGATTATAGTCATTAGTGCATGGTTGCAACACTGCAGCAAATGTATGTAATGTACAAAATTGCTTTAGGGTAAACATTATTAATATATAATGGATAATAATTTTCACCTATCCTGTGCACTATTATATAGCACGACATGCTATTAAATCAAAAGGTAGCATGTTACATTATATAAACCGAAGGTGGTAACTCATGATCAAGTATTGTTAAACTCCTGAGGATTTTTTTTCTTTTTTCTCTCCCATCACCCAACAATTAACTATAAATAGCTGTAAAACAGGGAAACAATGTTCATAAAATAAGGAGATGTTTAATGATTGCCAATGAGACAACTATCCACCAGAGACCAAATGTCTATGCTGCGTAAGCATCTATATATAAAAATAAGAAGATGTGGTATAATTGCAAATGAGGCAACTCTCAACCAGAGACCAAATGACATAGAAGTTAACAACTATAGGTCACTGTACGGCATTCAACAATGAGCAAAATCCATACCATATAGTCAGCTATTAAAGGACCTGTTTACACAATATAGTGCATTAATTTTCAATAGCAAAGGTATTGCTTTAGTTAAGGAGACAGTAGCTATTATCTTTAATATAAATTCTTATTAAACATTAAATAAAATACATCCAACC